ATCCATATGGATGATCCATTTTTGGAAGAGGTGGAGGCTATGCCTACGGAATTAGACATACGAGATGTGCAAACAACAACTCTAGATTCACAATATAAAGAACTTCTTGATGGATGGTAGGTGAAAACCATCAAAGAAACATTGAATAAAAAGTATTCATCAGACACAGTAGATATTTTTACTGATGATATCGCCAAAATGAAGGTGGATGCAAGAGAGACTCGCAGAACGATAACCGTTAAAGCATAAAATCATTGATGTAACAGGTATGCACTAACTGACCAATGCGTTAATGAAGAGTGAGTTCGAGGCCATATTGGCAAATATGATAGAAATGCAATAACCATGGGGTAACGCCTTTGCACCACCAACATGCATAACATGTTGGATGGAACGCAATACATAGGGGGCACGAATTTTGAAAGTTGCTATACCCCAATATTTCCTCTGTACCCGTGTTTCAAGTATCAATAGCAAACCATACATCTGGATCAATGGCAAACTAGACATCAGGATCGATGCAGAAGAACACCAAGACATAAAAAAACAGGTGAAGCTAGGTGGTACGATAGTACATCAGCCGATGCAATAGGTAAATTATTTGATTGTTCATTAATGAAAATATAGGGACATCGATGATAGTAGGGTATTTGATACAAGAAAATGTAGGATCAAAGCCACAATCTTCAAGGAGTACAACATCAAGGACTTTTAAACTTGCGCAGGAATCGAGCGGATCAAGGCTCGGCCGGATAAATGGTCGATTTGGCAATCGGGAGCAGTAAGACCACTAGGAAGCTCTGCCGGCAGAAGACACCAGGTCGATTTAAGTGAAGAGGAACCAAAATTAGAAAAACAGCAGGCGGGGCAAATCAAGCGGCCACCACAAGCCAATCAAGGTGGAAACGATGTTTGTCGATTGGTGCTAGAAGTAGGGGTGTGCATGGTTTGGCCGAAATCGGTCGAACCATATTTATTTTGTCAGTTTGGCCAGTTTAGAAAGTTAATAAACAACCAACTAGAAGAAAAATTATCAAACTAGATGAAAATGGTTAAGTCCAATTTTGGTGGTGAAACCGGCCATTTCAGCCGCACCGGACCATTTATGTATAATATGTGTAGTGATTTAAGAATATTTCATAAACATGTGTTCATAAGTAAAAGACAGAAGGTAAAAGTTGACTTGGTGGAAGCGGAGTACTCTTTTCTGGGAAAGGTCATAGGTTTAATACCCCTTGCCTCTACTTTTGTTCCCATATTTTTTTTTCTAAATTTGGACCTGCTCATTTTCACCCTTTCTAAATTTGGGCATGTCCATCTTAACATTGATCTTGGACTATTCAACATTTATGGGCCCCATAAGTGTGTCCAATTAAAGTCTAAACCATCAAATTACCCCAGACTAAACCGCTTTTATACAATCCAACCAGTTAGATACTCATTTCTTAGTCGGTCAGCTTGGTTTGTCAAATTTTCAAATTGTAGAGCGTCAAACCCAGCTAGTGCACACCCCTAGCTAGAAGTGGTGTCAGAAAGCAACAAGGAATCCTACTTCCATCAATATCGGTGAGACCTTATCTAGAGTATATGAAGCACGAACCGTTTCCAAGTACTTTCGGATCCCAGATTTTACCAAATTTCCCGGCGATGATGATGCAAGAATGGTAAAATGTATTCATTTTTACAGACTGATGTCAATTTGTAGACCATGCCTTCAAGTCAATTTGTGACTTCCGTAAGTCATTTTATACGTTTAAAATTGAACGTAAGTCTCTCTTTGACTTGGTTGGCCTTGTCTTCATTCTAAGTTTTGGGGGGGGGGGGGGGGGAACTATTGTTCTACTAATTTGTGTTTTGGTGGCTAAAAGAATAGAAGCCCTTTTGAAATATCAAAGAACTGGACATGGGGAATTGTTGCCTCTTTGTCAAAAAGTGAACCATGCCCAGTCCCTAAGTCCTCATTAACTCTATCTCTTTTCTCCTCTTGAGCCAACTGCTCGCCTGCCCTCGGAAAAGGCTAAACCTCCTTTTGTATCTTGCTGTCAATAGTAGAACATGGTTTACCTTCTCCCGAATCTCTTCGTGAGGAATGAGAATTTCTCCTCTACTCACCATTGATCAAAACCCCATACGGAGAGAATATATAGGAAATGGGAGGGGGTAATCTTTTCAACAGATCTCACACTTGTTTGAAGAAATGTTTAAAATTTTGTAGGAAATCATGGCACCGAGAGTAAAGTAGACGGCAAGAAAGCGAACACTTCAAGTGCAGGGATCAGATTCCCTTGGGTGCAACCCGTAGTATAGCCACTACTTCTTCCATACCCTCAACACACTAGAGAGCAGAGAGAAGAGGTGAGGAGGACACTTTAGGGTGCAAGGAACATGAACTTCTTCATCACTGATTTTGCTTGCAATTTCTTCAAGAAAAATCGAAATAGAGCAATAGTGATTGAATGTTGCCTTATCAATGGTGGATATTTTTCCACATACATTGAAGAAAATAGTTGGCCAGGTCTATGCAACCCCAATGTGCGACCGAGAATCAATGCGGCAATGGAGTTGTGTGCCAATCTCATTGCGGTGCAAGGAAACTATGTTTTTGTTAGAGGCTCCCTATTGCTATTAGGGAAGTGTTGGGTCTGCCAGCGGTGAATTCTGATTTTGAGGAAGCTATAAGGAATCTCCCGATGGAAGGGAAGATTTTAAAATCTCTGCTAGCTGTTCTATGTAATGATCCGAAGTCAGTTCAATGGATCTGGGAAAGGATGGATTTCCAATTTATCTACACAAACATCAGGCCAACCAACTATCACCAATTTGTCACCTTCGAGAGAGCGATGCTCGTTTATGCATTTGTGAATGACATCCCCATTGATGTAGCCACCATCATCCAACCACAGATGGACAACTGTGTGGCAGATGAGTCCATCAAATGCTGGTTCTTCCCAAGTATGCTCATCATGCTGATGAATCGGTCCAAAGTCAATTTTGGACCATCTGATCAAAGTGAAAGCTTTCCACCTCCATGGAAACTACAAGGCCCACCACCACATCCCTTTGATGGGACGAATCCTTGATCACTCAAGGAAGTCACATGTTCACTCTCCCATTTTTTTTTCTTTTTTTTTATGTTTAGTTTCTATTTTGCCTTTGTGTTTTATTAGCACTGGGGACAATGCTAAGTTTAAGTTTGGGGGAGGGAGAGTGACTGGGAGTGACTATGTAGTCGAGTCTGTTTTAAGGTTTGTTTATATGTGTGTTTTGTTTTTGTGCATGTTGTTGGCCCTTTTGAGCTTTTTTCTTTGTTTTAAAATTGTGTTTAGAGTCCAGGAAGTTGTCTGTATATAAGTGTAGTAATTGCATGCTCAGAGGAATTGTCAAAAGTCAATGATGAATTCAATTTTGTGGGTTCATGATATGCTTATATTTTACCTATTTATTATATCCCTAATTTGTGATTTTTGTAATATATTTTGAGTACAAATATGCTATTTATATGATTTTATCTTTATTTGTAGGTTTTGTACTCAAATGGAAGAATTGTTGAGGTTTTGGACTAAATTGAAAAGAAAAAGCGACTCAAAGGAAGAAATTGAAGCACTTGAAGAGTTGGAGGAGTTTTAATTTAAATTGGCTTGAAAAAAAATTAACTTTCTTATTCCTGAAGAAATAGGATTTGACGAAAACCTATAAAACGAGGATTAGGGTTTTATTTTTGGGGGAGACTGAATCAAAAACCAACTCCATCATACCACTCTGCTGACCAACTCCGCCAACGTCCCCTTCTCCACCACTTCATCACCTACTACCACCAGTTTTTCTCCACAAAATCTCCGCCGCAACACCACCCTTTTTCCTCCTTGCCCCCATCTCCACGCACCAGCAAAACTCACCTTTCTTATCATCATCATCACCGAAGTCAGCCCCGTACACCTCCACGCATCAAATAACCTTATAGCCACACACCTCTTTTCAGCCCTAACACTTCCACGCACACCACCTCAAGCCACCAGCACCATCATCATCCTCACGCATCATCGGAGGAAGCAAGCAGCAAAGTATCAACCTCAGACTCAACTTTCGGCTGACTTTCTCCTGGGTTTCATTGTTTTATTTATTTTTGAGATGATGTGTAGCTAAATTATTTAATCTAGGGTTTTGGATGTAGCTACCGTACTATTTAATTTAATTTAATTCATGATTGTAACTTTTTCATTAGTTGATATTTAATATTCTTGTTTTTATTCCATGTGAGTATTTGATCTCCACTTGCATGCTTTAAAGGTGTTTAACTGAAGGAACGATGGTTGAAGGTTAGCACTAGTTCGTGGGAATATTAAACTTAGGTAGTGAGCCACGACAGTCGGAACACCGCCTTTGCAGCTAGAGATTCTAAAGTTCTTAATTCGCTTTTATTAATCCCTATAGTCACGACTGTAGTCATAGGGTTAGTTTAAGTAAGAGAATCATACCACGACAGTGAATATTTCTTAAATAGGTGAATCGTTGTGAGATTAATGAAAGTCTAAAGTCACATATCTATAAGTTGAGTTAAACTGAGTTGTTGGTAGGTGAACCCTTTGCCCTAGGTTTTCTTTTATTTGTGTAAAATCTTAAATAGATTGTAATTGATAGTTTTAGGTTTAGATTAGTTTAAATTGATAAATTGTTAATCTAAATAATAATAAGAAATAATTTTAACCGGTACTTGGTAACCTTCTCTGTGTGATCGACTCTGCTTTCTGCTTTACTGTTAGTAATTGTATTAAGTAGGTAATTAATATTTGACTAGTGTGACGACGACTTGACAAATTTGGCGCCGTTGCCGGTGAAGGCACTAACAATTATCAAAACTAGATAATTTCTTTTATTAATTTAGATTTGTATATATTTTTATTTATTTTATTAATTTTTATTTTATCTTATTTTATTTTTATTTTTAATTTTATTCTCCTTTCTTTCTTGTGTCAACAGTTTTGTAGGATTTTGGAGTTATCATGGAGAATTATAACTATGGATATGGAGATGCTCCGTATTATGGTTATGATTCTGAATATGGAGACTATCCTACATATCAAGAAGATCCATACTCTTGGAACAATTCGTCTTCTAATTCTTACTCTAGTTGTGATTATCAAGGATATTCATTTGATGCTGGGTATAATTCTGGTTTTGGGAGCGCGTATATGAGTCCTAATATGTTGTCATGTTTGGAGAGAATTGATAAATTGCTGGATGACATCGAGAAGAAAAATGCTTCATATTTCTCTCAAGAGGATTGTTATCACTCAAATGCATCCGTATATCAACTACCACCTCCTAAACCCACTCTAAGAGAGTTAGCAGCTCGTCGACCTACTCTAAGAGAGTTAGTAGCTCGTCAACCTACTCTGAGAGAGCTAGCAGCCTTACAGTCATCACCTTGTCAACCTACTATGAGAGAGTTAGCATCTTTGTATCAACAGCCACCTGCTCAACCTCAACTTAGTGTTAGAGAGGCAGCTCTTCGAGATTGGCAAAGTGAAAAAGGTCAACAACTTATTAAAGAAGTCAACCAATATAGGATGAGTGTGGGGTTGCCGGAATATGATCCTATAGGAAATTTGCTTAAATTGAATAAGAATGAGAAGATTTCTGCAGATGATTCATTGGTCCAGTCTCCCCAACCACCATCTCAAACTGAGCTTGAATGTGAAGAATTAGAAGAGACCGAAGAGATTACAAGTCCAGATATTCCAAGTTCTCCTGATTCTTCTGGTATATACATAGTAGTTAAGCATGATTCGCTCATTCTGAGAGTTGGTGACAAAAATGTGGATCAAGTTGATTTTGATGAGAATAACATTCCTATAGTTTCAAAAGAAGGGTTTGAAGTAGACACATGTGGTGAGGTTGTCCCTGGTATAAGAGATTTTGAGGATGATGTGAAAAATGGTTCAATGAAAGACCAAGAAGAGGATCAATGGTACAAGATTGAATTTGAGAAAGAGGATGTTGTAGTGTTGGAGTATAAGTTTATATTTTCTCATAGAAAGGAGAACCACTACAAGAGATTCATTGTTGCTGTTGAACATGGTTTCTTCTGGTATCGAGATGGGTACTCTGACTGATTGGTCATGGAGTCCGGCTAAAGACTATAAAACAGTGCTTATTGGGAGGCAACCCAAGTTTTAATTTGCTTTATTTTATTTTCTTAAATTTGCAAATAAGTTGGTGGATAAGTTTTTTTGTTCCTGATTATCTGGAGATCTTTGATTTCTAGATTTTCGTAGTTTTTCTAAATCATCTATTTTTAGGTTTGTTTTTCTAATTTATTTTAGGTTGCAATTAGGTTTTTTGGAAGGGCAGAACTCTGGTGTCCAATGGTGCTGAAAATGAAACATCCAAAAGTCTGAAGAAATTGGTCGTGTGCTTGGATGGCAGTTGCAACAATTTATTCAACAATTCCGGTCCTCTGTTTTGCATTCCCAAGGTTGTGTCGTTTCTTTTCTTCTTTTTGTTTATGTCTTTTCTTTTCTTTTCACTTAGTTGTTTGTCTTTTGTGTTTTATACATTGAGGGCAATGTATACTATAAGTGTGGGGGAGAGGAATTTGTGTTTTGTGTTTGGTGTGTTTTGTGTTTATTTTCATTAAAAAAATTGAAAAAATTGAAAAATCCAAAAAGGCCTATGATGAAGATGGTTTGATTATCTATAGCATGTAAGAATTAGACTATTTTGAATTGTATTGCTTAACTTATGTATTTCAATATGTTGCTTTGAATACCCTGCTTTTTATGCACTTAGTCATGACTGTGGGATACGCCTGAAGTAAGATATTGTTGCATAAGTTTGATGTAGATATGCCATGAAAAGTTGTGTTTGATTCACTCATACTTATATGATATGTATGTGGAACCCATCATGTTGTGAAGGAAAAGCAAGGCATTAACCCAATATCAGCCTTAAAAAACCTTATTGCTTTGACACTTTGTGTTAAGTAAGTTTGTGGGAGGGGTGTTGGCGGATGCTTCTGAGGTTTGGTTAAATTTAATGAGGGAAAAAGGAAGAGCATTCAATGTTGATGCTAGCCCATTGAGAGGTGAGGAATTGGCAACCATCAGCGGAGAGTCCTCAGGCCCGGTGAGGAAAAATAGATATATAGACTGCCCTAAGTTGCTGAGCCACTATGTATAGGAGTGGAAAAATGCTCTGGGTAGTGGCCTGAGTTGGAAAGAGTCCTGAAGAAAAGCCGCATGGACCGAAGAATGGGTTACGAGGGAGAATAGGTTGTCTGTGAGGTAAGTCCTTCTACTTCATAGTATGTTTGGTGGTCCATTGCATTGAAATATTGTATGAAATGTGAATCTGTGTTAAAGTCTTAATATATGGCATATTTGCAGTAGAGCTTTTGTTTTCTATGTTGAATGTAAAGTGATGTCCCTAAGAAACGAATCGCACACACACACAAGCGTGGGGGCTAAAAGTAGCTATGGTTTGCATTGTTAGGTAGTCCATACTAGAGGTAGTTGAGATCTGTGTGTTATATGATATTAAATCTCTGAGACCGCCAAAATTAAATAATTACTTGTTTTTTTTTGTTTTAATTCTTGGGCATGCTTGAGGACAAGCAATAATTCAAGTTTGGGGGTATTTGATATGCTTATATTTTACCTATTTATTATATCCGTAATTTGTGATTTTTGCAATATATTTTCAGTCCAAATATGCTATTTATATGATTTTATCTTTATTTGTAGGTTTTTTGTACTCAAATGGAAGAATTGTTGAGGTTTTGGACTAAATTGAAAAGAAAAAGCAACTCAAAGGAAGAAATTGAAGCACTTGAAGAGTTGGAGGAGTTTTAATGTAAATTGGCTTGAAAAAAAATTAACTTTCTTATTCCTGAAGAAATAGGATTTGACAAAAGCCTTATAAACGAGGATTAGGGTTTTATTTTTGGGGGAAACTGAATCAAAAACCAACTCCATCACACCACTCTGCTGACCAACTCCGCCAACCTCCCCTTCTCCACCACTTCATCACCTACACACCACCAGTTTTTCTCCACAAAATCTCCGCCGCAACACCACCCTTTCTCCTCCTTGCTCCCATCTCCACGCACCAACAAAACTCACCTTTCTTTATCATCATCATCACCGAAGTTAGCCCCCCACACCTCCACGCATCAAATGAACTTATAGCCGCACACCTCTTTTCAGCCCTAACACTTTCACGCACACCACCTCAAGCCACCAGCACCATCATCATCCTCACGCATCATCGGAGGAAGCAAGCAGCAACGCATCAACCTCAGACTCAACTTTCGGCTGACTTTCTCCCGGGTTTCATTGTTTTATTTATTTTTGAGATGATGTGTAGCTAAATTATTTAATCTAGGATATTGGATGTAGCCGCAGTACTATTTAATTTAATTTAATTCATGATTGTGACTTTTTCATTAGTTGATATTTAATATTCTTGTTTTTATTCCATGTGAGTATTTGATCACCACTTGCATGCTTTAAAGGTGTTTCACTGAAGGAACGACGGTTGAAGGTTAGCACTAGTTTATGGGAATATTAAACTTAGGTAGTGAGGCACGACATTAGGAACACCGCCTTTGTAGCTAGAGATTCTAAAGTCCTTAATGTGCTTTTATTAATTCCTATAGTCACGTCAGTAGTCATAGGGTTAGTTTAAGTAAGAGAATCATACCACGACAGTGAATATGTCTTAAATAGGTGAATCCTTGTGAGATTAATGAAAGTCTAAAGTCACATATCTATAAGTTGAGTTAAACTGAGTTGTCGGTAGGTGAACCCTTTGCCCTAGGTTTTCTTTTATTTGTGTAAAATCTTAAATAGATTGTAATTGATAGTTTTAGGTTTAGATTAGTTTAAATTGATAAATTGTTAATCTAAATAATAATAAGAAATAATTTTAACCGGTACTTGGTAACTTTCTCTGTGTGATCGACTCTGCTTTCTGCTTTACTGTTAGTAATTGTATTAAGTAGGTAATTAATATTTGACTAGTGTGACGACGACTTGACAAATTTGGCGCCGTTGCCGGTGAAGGCACTAACAATTATCAAAACTAGATAATTTCTTTTATTAATTTAGATTTGTATATATTTTTATTTATTTTATTAATTTTTATTTTATCTTATTTTATTTTTATTTTTAATTTTATTCTCCTTTCTTTCTTGTGTCAACAGTTTTGTAGGATTTTGGAGTTATCATGGAGAATTATAACTATGGATATGGAGATGCTCCGTATTATGGTTATGATTCTGAATATGGAGACTATCCTACATATCAAGAAGATCCATACTCTTGGAACAATTCGTCTTCTAATTCTTACTCTAGTTGTGATTATCAAGGATATTCATTTGATGCTGGGTATAATTCTGGTTTTGGGAGCGCGTATATGAGTCCTAATATGTTGTCATGTTTGGAGAGAATTGATAAATTGCTGGATGACATCGAGAAGAAAAATGCTTCATATTTCTCTCAAGAGGATTGTTATCACTCAAATGCATCCGTATATCAACTACCACCTCCTAAACCCACTCTAAGAGAGTTAGCAGCTCGTCGACCTACTCTAAGAGAGTTAGTAGCTCGTCAACCTACTCTGAGAGAGCTAGCAGCCTTACAGTCATCACCTTGTCAACCTACTATGAGAGAGTTAGCATCTTTGTATCAACAGCCACCTGCTCAACCTCAACTTAGTGTTAGAGAGGCAGCTCTTCGAGATTGGCAAAGTGAAAAAGGTCAACAACTTATTAAAGAAGTCAACCAATATAGGATGAGTGTGGGGTTGCCGGAATATGATCCTATAGGAAATTTGCTTAAATTGAATAAGAATGAGAAGATTTCTGCAGATGATTCATTGGTCCAGTCTCCCCAGCCACCATCTCAAACTGAGCTTGAATGTGAAGAATTAGAAGAGACCGAAGAGATTACAAGTCCAGATATTCCAAGTTCTCCTGATTCTTCTGGTATATACATAGTAGTTAAGCATGATTCGCTCATTCTGAGAGTTGGTGACAAAAATGTGGATCAAGTTGATTTTGATGAGAATAACATTCCTATAGTTTCAAAAGAAGGGTTTGAAGTAGACACATGTGGTGAGGTTGTCCCTGGTATAAGAGATTTTGAGGATGATGTGAAAAATGGTTCAATGAAAGACCAAGAAGAGGATCAATGGTACAAGATTGAATTTGAGAAAGAGGATGTTGTAGTGTTGGAGTATAAGTTTATATTTTCTCATAGAAAGGAGAACCACTACAAGAGATTCATTGTTGCTGTTGAACATGGTTTCTTCTGGTATCGAGATGGGTACTCTGACTGATTGGTCATGGAGTCCGGCTAAAGACTATAAAACAGTGCTTATTGGGAGGCAACCCAAGTTTTAATTTGCTTTATTTTATTTTCTTAAATTTGCAAATAAGTTGGTGGATAAGTTTTTTTGTTCCTGATTATCTGGAGATCTTTGATTTCTAGATTTTCGTAGTTTTTCTAAATCATCTATTTTTAGGTTTGTTTTTCTAATTTATTTTAGGTTGCAATTAGGTTTTTTGGAAGGGCAGAACTCTGGTGTCCAATGGTGCTGAAAATGAAACATCCAAAAGTCTGAAGAAATTGGTCGTGTGCTTGGATGGCAGTTGCAACAATTTATTCAACAATTCCGGTCCTCTGTTTTGCATTCCCAAGGTTGTGTCGTTTCTTTTCTTCTTTTTGTTTATGTCTTTTCTTTTCTTTTCACTTAGTTGTTTGTCTTTTGTGTTTTATACATTGAGGGCAATGTATACTATAAGTGTGGGGGAGAGGAATTTGTGTTTTGTGTTTGGTGTGTTTTGTGTTTATTTTCATTAAAAAAATTGAAAAAATTGAAAAATCCAAAAAGGCCTATGATGAAGATGGTTTGATTATCTATAGCATGTAAGAATTAGACTATTTTGAATTGTATTGCTTAACTTATGTATTTCAATATGTTGCTTTGAATACCCTGCTTTTTATGCACTTAGTCATGACTGTGGGATACGCCTGAAGTAAGATATTGTTGCATAAGTTTGATGTAGATATGCCATGAAAAGTTGTGTTTGATTCACTCATACTTATATGATATGTATGTGGAACCCATCATGTTGTGAAGGAAAAGCAAGGCATTAACCCAATATCAGCCTTAAAAAACCTTATTGCTTTGACACTTTGTGTTAAGTAAGTTTGTGGGAGGGGTGTTGGCGGATGCTTCTGAGGTTTGGTTAAATTTAATGAGGGAAAAAGGAAGAGCATTCAATGTTGATGCTAGCCCATTGAGAGGTGAGGAATTGGCAACCATCAGCGGAGAGTCCTCAGGCCCGGTGAGGAAAAATAGATATATAGACTGCCCTAAGTTGCTGAGCCACTATGTATAGGAGTGGAAAAATGCTCTGGGTAGTGGCCTGAGTTGGAAAGAGTCCTGAAGAAAAGCCGCATGGACCGAAGAATGGGTTACGAGGGAGAATAGGTTGTCTGTGAGGTAAGTCCTTCTACTTCATAGTATGTTTGGTGGTCCATTGCATTGAAATATTGTATGAAATGTGAATCTGTGTTAAAGTCTTAATATATGGCATATTTGCAGTAGAGCTTTTGTTTTCTATGTTGAATGTAAAGTGATGTCCCTAAGAAACGAATCGCACACACACACAAGCGTGGGGGCTAAAAGTAGCTATGGTTTGCATTGTTAGGTAGTCCATACTAGAGGTAGTTGAGATCTGTGTGTTATATGATATTAAATCTCTGAGACCGCCAAAATTAAATAATTACTTGTTTTTTTTTGTTTTAATTCTTGGGCATGCTTGAGGACAAGCAATAATTCAAGTTTGGGGGTATTTGATATGCTTATATTTTACCTATTTATTATATCCGTAATTTGTGATTTTTGCAATATATTTTCAGTCCAAATATGCTATTTATATGATTTTATCTTTATTTGTAGGTTTTTTGTACTCAAATGGAAGAATTGTTGAGGTTTTGGACTAAATTGAAAAGAAAAAGCAACTCAAAGGAAGAAATTGAAGCACTTGAAGAGTTGGAGGAGTTTTAATGTAAATTGGCTTGAAAAAAAATTAACTTTCTTATTCCTGAAGAAATAGGATTTGACAAAAGCCTTATAAACGAGGATTAGGGTTTTATTTTTGGGGGAAACTGAATCAAAAACCAACTCCATCACACCACTCTGCTGACCAACTCCGCCAACCTCCCCTTCTCCACCACTTCATCACCTACACACCACCAGTTTTTCTCCACAAAATCTCCGCCGCAACACCACCCTTTCTCCTCCTTGCTCCCATCTCCACGCACCAACAAAACTCACCTTTCTTTATCATCATCATCACCGAAGTTAGCCCCCCACACCTCCACGCATCAAATGAACTTATAGCCGCACACCTCTTTTCAGCCCTAACACTTTCACGCACACCACCTCAAGCCACCAGCACCATCATCATCCTCACGCATCATCGGAGGAAGCAAGCAGCAACGCATCAACCTCAGACTCAACTTTCGGCTGACTTTCTCCCGGGTTTCATTGTTTTATTTATTTTTGAGATGATGTGTAGCTAAATTATTTAATCTAGGATATTGGATGTAGCCGCAGTACTATTTAATTTAATTTAATTCATGATTGTGACTTTTTCATTAGTTGATATTTAATATTCTTGTTTTTATTCCATGTGAGTATTTGATCTCCACTTGCATGCTTTAAAGGTGTTTAACTGAAGGAACGATGGTTGAAGGTTAGCACTAGTTCGTGGGAATATTAAACTTAGGTAGTGAGCCACGACAGTCGGAACACCGCCTTTGCAGCTAGAGATTCTAAAGTTCTTAATTCGCTTTTATTAATCCCTATAGTCACGACTGTAGTCATAGGGTTAGTTTAAGTAAGAGAATCATACCACGACAGTGAATATGTCTTAAATAGGTGAATCCTTGTGAGATTAATGAAAGTCTAAAGTCACATATCTATAAGTTGAGTTAAACTGAGTTGTCGGTAGGTGAACCCTTTGCCCTAGGTTTTCTTTTATTTGTGTAAAATCTTAAATAGATTGTAATTGATAGTTTTAGGTTTAGATTAGTTTAAATTGATAAATTGTTAATCTAAATAATAATAAGAAATAATTTTAACCGGTACTTGGTAATTTTCTCTGTGGGATCGACCCTGCTTTCTGCTTTACTGCTAGTAATTGAAAGATGATTGAAAGACACTTGTTCAGGATTACATTAGGCAATGCTAGAAATGCATGGCCACATTCTTATGCAGAACATTCAACTTGACAATGTGTTTGCTTTGGGCTTAAATTTTAAAATTTTGGAATGCTTAATGCTTTGTTGCAATCTAGTACTGGAGCTCACTTGTTTGAGACCTATAGGTACTACAAATCTGAGAATTAGACAAAGGCAGCCATAAGCATCATGGCAGTCTCGAATCGAGCTCATGGTGGTTTGTATATACCTTGGAAGAAGGGAAAAGTTGGCGATTAAATCTGAGGCTAAGTGTTTTGCTAATTGAGGGAGAATGACAGAGTGTCCAATGTGGCATTTTAACCCCTTGAGAGGTTAGGAATGGCACCAAAGAGAGGATTGTCCCCAGGCTTTCTGAGATTTAAAGGAAAATTACATGCTTAGAATAGGCATGAGTGGGAAAGAAAATAGAGTCTATAAAATAGAAAAAGTCGAAGGACTCCCGGATGAAAAGGTATCAGAGCTGCACATATGCAGCTAATGATGCTTGCAGAAATGAGAGGAAGCCCTTAGTTCTGAACCTTAGTTAGAATACCCTAATTACATGCAAGATGGAAATAACAACTGATCACAAGAATGTCCTTTTGAACTTAATAGCTTCTAACTTTAGAATGGACAAGCAACACTTTGTTATGTGGTCTATCACACGCACTCTAAGGAGTGAGTTTTTGACTTGCTCAAGTGGTACTAAACTGTGGTGTACATTATCTTTCTTTGATGAGACCTGAATATAAGACAAATTTTTGACACTTCTTTTTGCAGCAATTATGTGTTTGAGTCTTTGGGAAAGGGTAGATGTTATGTTAGCTTGAGGACAAGCAACTCTTCAAGTTTGGGAGAGTTGACGGGAGTTAGAAATTATGTATTTTTCTTTTACTACTTGTGTTTTAGTTTAATTTAGTAAGAATTATATATTTATAATGTAATTTTGTGACTTTTTGTGATCAAGGGCTTTATTGAAAAATTTTGAAAAAGGGTAGTAGAAATGGTACAAATTGGTGAAAGCCAAGGCATAATTGAAAATGGCTCAATTGGATTGGGTGGGCCATTTCTGGAGATTAAGAACCCGGTAACAGCAACAACGTAAAGCTAAGAAAGCAAGCAAAACCTTCAGGGCTAAGGAAGGAACGAAGCATGGAGATAAGGTATTATTGCTGACTTCAAGGGGAGATGGTGACCCACAAGCTGATTAATCAAATTAAAAACTCCTCTAAGCCTGATTAGAAGACAAAGAAAGGCATGGGTAAGGTATGGGTCTTTCATAAATCATGGAAATCAATCTTGACTTCTTTCATAAAGTGAAGATCAACCAAGCTAGACAAATTTGTCCATTCAAGCCTCTATAAAAGCAAGAAGATCAGCAACAACAAAGGCATCGAGTGAAGAACTAAGAAATTTTGAGTTAGCTTAGTTTTTAGTTAGATTAGAAAAACAGAGTATTAATAGGAAGTAGAATCATGGGTGCTACTTGGTGAAGTGAGAAACTGACTTCTGGTCAGCAGAATTGAGGCATTCCCTGACTCTTTTCTCTTGTTTTCTCTCCTTTCTGGTTGTAAACTTGGAGTCTTTGTACTGCATTGCTTCTTTGTTTAAGATTCCAAGCATGTGTAGCTAAACTCTTTTCTTTGGGTCTATCCCTCAACTTTATATAAGTATGTTTTGATTTAGCTCTCGAATGATATTTGTATGCCTAGTCTTAGATTTTTAATTAAAATTTTGGTTGAATTGGCCACTTGACTAATTGTGCATACATGTTAGGGGAATCCTTGATGGGTAAAATTAACTTAGAATGTCTAAGATTAGCAGACGATGAGGGGGGTAATAGCCTAAAGTTTCAAAAAATAATGGAAGTTAGTTGTTTGGCACGAGGTGCTCACAGAGGCTTAGGATCTTAATGGCCTAATAGTATTCTGGAGTCAATAATGTATGTTAGTGGGTTTGTTGCTACTAGGACTCAGTATGGAAGAATCGGTGGCAACCTTATGGTGTATTTGCGCCTGATCAAACACAATTTTGTACCACAAAGAGGGTAAATAAATCAAAGAATACAAGTATAAAGTAGAGAGG